GCCACTCTGGCGAGGCCGCTCGCTGCTCCTGCAACCCTCGCTCGCGGCGTTGACAGCCACCCTCACGGAGCCGCAGCAGCTCTGGGCTCGGACAATTTGAAAGTACAATAGTTGTTTTCCCAGTTCACTCGACCAGCAAGCCTATCGGATTTAAGTGGAGAAGTCCGCTGCTTGTGTTCTCTCTCTTGCTCGCTCGCTTATAAACGCCTAACACCTACATATATTTCTAAAACATTCAATATAATTAACAATCAAAAGAAAAAGGAGAAAAGGAAGGGAAATATTACTGGGTTACTATGCACTTGCGACTGATTCCTTGGTTTTTTATCATTTTGAACTCTATGGAATACATCGGCAGCCAAAACGCCTCCCGGGGAAGGCGCCAGCGAAGAAGTAAGTGCAGGTTTTTTTACGCATTTGCTCCCTCCCGCCGCGTTCACCTGTCGGGTCGCTTCGCCTGTCCTGAGTCAGCTCCCACGGCAGTGGTCCCCCGCCCTCACCCCAGGCCTCCAAGAGGAGGTAACATTTTAAGCTTCTGTATTCACCGCGTCCTTCACGCCTTCCTCTCGGCGTCCCTCTCGTCCCCCGCATCCTCACGCGTGCCAGAGTCGGGAGGACCCGAAGCTCCAGTGGCTCCCGCCCCCTCGTTAACTTCCGAGCGCCGCCGAGTTCGGTCCTTCCTTAGACTAGTGCAATGGGTTTGTACTTCCCTTCCAAGGTTCACATGGCGTTTGGAGCCACAAACAGCGCTGTAGCCTAACCGGTGGGACGCCCCTGAAGGCTGAGAAAACCCTGGGAGACACGGCCGCCGCGTGCGCTCACCTAACCTGGACGCCCCGCGTGGGCAGACAGAGTTGGGCCCTCCCGCTGCGCCGCGGTTGCGGAGAGCTGGCCCGTGGGTCCCCGAGCCGGGGAGCCAGCGCCTGCGCGGCCTGTGCCCCTGGCCACTCACTAGTGGATCGGAAGCGCGCGCGAGGCTCTCCTCGCGCTTGGCGTATCTGCGCACTTGCACACCGCGACTAGTCCCATTCCCCGGGGAGAGCACCTCTGAACCCAGTCAGGGTGGTGGGAGCCGGAGGTGCCGGGTTTCTAGTTACAATCTTGCTTGTCACGCGTGAGCGCTTTTACTGTCTCCGACTCTTTCAAGTGGGTCCCCTGGGGTAGACACATACAGCGGGTGGGATCTCGCGTGCATCCTACACTCCTCTGACTCCTGTTACTTGGAAGGTTAATTTGTGACGGTTTCTTAAGAAAGCGCTTTTGCACCCCCAGCCTGCCCAGAACACCCACAATTCAGGTTTGTCTGTCTGCAAGGTGGTGTCGTCCGGAGAAGAGTGTGTAGAAGCTAGGATGGCTCCCAGTAGCTCTGCGCGCAAGCCACTTTGGTCTGTTCCTGGTAGGGATTTCTATTGCAATTTAGGGGACGACCCATGCATCATCATGGGGGGCGCTTGTGCAGACAGGGAGGGAGAAATCTAACTTTGCGGGGCGCTGAGAGTGTGGCTATTGCTTTGACTCTTCGGACCGACGGGACCAGGGACCTGGAGGCTGTTGGTGGCCTCAGGTCCCGCGCGCGGAGCCCTCTCTGAGAGCCAGCGGCGAAAGCCCTCGGGGCACCCGCGGGTGCGGCGCAGAGAACACTACACCAGCTTGTGTGAAATGGAGATTTAGCAATCGCTTCTCCCATGCTGTTTGTCTCTGCCCTGCCCCTGACTTGAGGGTCCCCTGAAAGCTACCTTTGTGTCGCTCTCCTAGGATACACAAGGTTTGATTCACCTGAAAATTTTCTTAAAAAAAAAAAAAAGTGGGGCTCAGGCCTGGCCTCCCCGCCTCTAGAATCCCGTAGCAGGGGGCTGGTGGACATCAGGGCATCCGATTTTCCGATTTATTATTCTTTTACTATGAATGGGTTGTATTCTTCATAACTCCTCCACCGATCTTTTCCCTCAAACTGTGAGGTCGCTCAGTGGGGTCGCCTGTGGCTCAGCTTTGCCTCATCCTGGTGGTCCCCGCCTCCTCTCCGTTCAGGGTCCCACAGTGAAAATTGAGCAGCCGGTGGGGAAAGGGATGCCGGGCATAAGCTCAGGCCATTGCTTTACTTCACTTTTTCAGCTCCTACCCTTCCAGGGCCCGCAACCCACTCCCTCTTCCACACCACTGGGGACCCCGAGCCCCATAATTGCTGGGGCGGGACAGGGTTCTATGAGCTAGAAGAGTCTCCAGTGGTAGTGTTGGCATCCCACTTTCTGTAGGAAGAAAGGGGAAAATCTGCCATCCAATCGTTCCCACCTCCCCGGACAGTAGGACCCGGAGAGCGGGAAGCTGCAGGCTGACGCTTCCCCAAGACTGCGGGGAGCCATGGGCTGGGGCACCCTTAGACTTGGACTAAAAAAGGAATCGCAGAGTCAAAAGACAAACAGCTCTGCGATCGGCCTCACTCGTCTGAAGGCCAAGTCAAAGGCGCCCTCTGTTGTGTAAAGAGGATGAGAGAGGGAGTGGGTGGGATTGAGTTGAAATTCCAATTATTCTGGGGGAGTGGGGCTGGGAGAGAGCTCTCGTAGTTTGGGACTCGCCTTACTCTGGCACTTGATTTGTGGCTGGGTTTGCTGGTGCAATTCTGGGAGAGGGGCGACCCCTTGCGTCCTCTGAGGAGACAGACGAGACTATTGGCAGGTGCAATATGGTTTTTAGAATTGGCAAGAGGTGGAGGGTACTGAGAGATCCTGCTTAAATGTCCAGAAACTCAAGGTCAAATTGCGTGTGTTCCTTCTAGTATCTTTGGAGGTCTGAAACAAATATACAAATAAGCATTTTCTCAAATAGGAACCAGGAAAAGGCTTTTGAAATGAAAAACAAGATGGTAGTCAAGAGTTTTATGCAAAGTCTCATTTCTCCTTCAAGGAACAGTAAATAAAATGATTATTAAAGAATACTCGTTCTCACTTGTAACTAAGTAGTTTCACTTTTTGAAACTTTTAAAAAATATGAGCAAAAGAAAATTCAGAGGTAAGACTTATTTTTCAGTTTTTAAAAATAGTTTTTTGAATGTTTTAGTAAAATTTATCCAAAAAAGTCTCATTTGAAGTGTGAAATATAGACAATTTGAAGAGTCACGGTTAGTCCTTGAGTATAACAGTTAATATCATACCAATATTTCCTTGTTTTCCTAAAACAATTTCTATAAGATTTGTCTCTGTATTGCTGCAAACTAGTAATCTTGTCTATCATTACAAAAATCATTTTAAGCAAGATTTCTGTAATTTAGAAAATGATATTTAGTTATAGATCAACATAGACAAGTTTTTTTTTTCTTTTACCAGTGAGGACTCATTTACAGCTCCTAGAGAAGCTAAACTAATTTATTCATGATGAAATATAATACAATCCTTATTCAAAATTACCCAACCAACAATGTTTTCAAAGGTAAGCTTTAACTGTATGTCAAAATCAAAACCCCAAACCGAGTTTTCAACTCATTTCTAGCCGAGCTTTTGCCACTTGGTTCTTTTGGCTTCTGAATACCTAATTGCAAGTAAAGCTAGGGTTATATTCACTATACTAATCATCACAATACCTTAATATTACACTGATTTTTATTTGAATTATACTTGGACCCCCTCTATTATAAATAGCATGTTGAAATATACAGGTGGCATTAATATTCCCATTTTACAAAGAAAGACCCTGAGAAGCTGAAGCTAAGAAACCTACACAAAATCACACAGGTAGTAAGTGGAACTTAGCTCCTGCTATTTATAATACATGTTGATCCAGGCCATAGAGAAAAAGTATGAAATATGAGTTATTACATATTATTGTCACTAGATCATTATTTATTTGATATGCTTGAAGAACTAGCTGTTCTGGTTGACTGAGAACTTTTGAACCATTATTTTTATGTATTTGTTAGGGACGGATATCATGGTTAAGAACTAAGTAGTAATAGTGACACATATGAAACATAATACATTATTTGGCTATTCAAAAGACACTGTGGAAATTATATTTTGCCAGAAGACTATTGTTAGAAACATCAGATATGATTGCCCAGTGCATTTAATTTGATGTCATCAATTAATTGGGTTTTCATTGCAAGCAATTCTAGATAAATGAAGCTTTGAAATGCCATTGTACACATAATAATTACAAAGCACATATTGTATAATATACAGAACTTTTAAGTCTTTCATAAAGATGTCTGAAAAAGAAGCAAAACTAAGGGAGATAATCTTAATGTTGCTAAATTCTAATTTATTGGACTATACCGTTTACTAATCAAGTTTCAGGTGTTGATTTATTCTTGGAGATTCTGATATACTCCTGGTAATTATACTACACATCTTGGAAAATATAAAGTTAGTTGTGAGACAGTTAAATCTTCCAATCTACAATACATATTATGATATTAATTTTAAACTAAGTGTGGTGTAAATATTAGGTACAATTTTCTTACCTGCCTACTTTCCTCACCACTCTACCTTGTTTTCAACAGAAACAGTTTAATAACTTGAGATGAGTAACATTTGCTGGAGAAAGCATACCTTGCCACAAATCTATCATGTGTTATCTCTTTGAATCATTCTTAGGTGGTAATGGTAACATTCAAGGCCAATCAAAAGGCTTTTGTGGGGGTTCTAGTTTTATCAGCATTATACTTTCAGTGTTGTTAATTAAGCTACACCTTTTTTATACAATTTTAATTTTCTGTTTATTACTTCAGTACAAGGATTTTACTAACATTAGGAATGATAATTTTAAAATAATTATCTTTTTACTCCCAAGTTATTCTATGGGAAGTAACTGAGAATATAAGAATGAGTGAAAAATTAATGTCATCATTTCAATCTTTCTTTAAGTATGAAATATGAATAGTATTTCAACTTGTAAGGAGATCACTTTGCTAAATCATTTATCCATTAAATATTTCCCTGGCACTTAATATTCTACAAATTAGGTCCCCAGAAAGCGATGAATGGAAATTACAACATGTAGTTAAATTTGATTTTCACGTTATTATGGGGAAACCCTTGCAACACTACTCCAAAATGAATTTATTAGTCATCTGATCATTTTAGACTACTGGAATCTGAACAGAGATCTCCAGATTGCTACTAAATGTTACAAATATTTTCTAGATAAATGATTTTTTTTATCTTAAAGTTCTTTTAAATCCTATGCATTGTGATAGAACCAATGACCCCTCTACCATTACAAGAATGAACTATCAAATAATAAAACTGTTCTGTCTGGTGATTTACTAAAAGTCTTTCTCCCCTCTATCTCTATCCAAATGTTTCATTTTGGACATAGTCCTAACCTTTCTACTGATTTCCTCAGTATTCATTCACCCCATCCCCCCCAAATCCTTTTCCAAGTAGTGAATTCTTGAAATG